AGACCACTGCCATTCATGACTTGATCATGGATGGTGGAATTGACCTGGCATGTGTAACAGAGACTTGGACGTGGCCGATGGCCTGTTCTTGCTGCTGCTTGCCGCCACGTTTCTCACAGCAACCCATGTCATGTGGGCGGGGAGTGGGGAGGTTGCAGTGATCTTTAGGAAGTCATTAGCTTGTGCCGGGTGTCCTAATTGGGAAGACCCAGTTTTCTGAGTGTATGTTCTGGAAGCTGGGCAATAGGGGAAGTACAGGATTCCTTTTAGTGTACTGACCTCCCCACTGCACCAAGGATTCCTTGCTTGAGCTGCTTCAGGTCATGGTAGATGTTAACATCCATGCTGACACAACCTTACCAAGGGCTGCTCGAGACCTCATGGAAAGCATGGCCTCCATGGGACTGCCTCTGAATAAGTTTGGCCCAACCCATAGCCGCAGACATGGCTTAGATCAGGAGTTGACCTCAATGGACATTAATGAGCTGACATTAAGTAAAAGCAAAACAAAAGAATTGCCATGGTCGGATCACTTCATAGAATCATAGAATCATAGAGATGGAAGAGACCACAAGGGCCATCGAGTCCAACCCCCTGCCAAGCAGGAAACACCATCAGAGCACTGCTGACATATGGTTGTCAAGCCTCTGCTTAAAGACCTCCAAAGAAGGAGACTCCACCACACTCCTTGGCAGCAAATTCCACTGTCGAACAGCTCTTACTGTCAGGAAGTCCTTCCTAATGTTTAGGTGGAATCTTCTTTCTTGTAGTTTGGATCCATTGCTCCGTGTCCGCTTCTCTGGAGCAGCAGAAAACAACCTTTCTCCCTCCTCTATGTGACATCCTTTTATATACTTCCTGGTGCAACTAGACTTCTCTGTGACCCTTCTCCTCCACAGGGAGGTGGGACCGATTCGGATGGTCTGTCCCTGCCACTTAATGGTTTCCAGAGAGTGGTAGGGGATGTTTTGTCCCATGTTGATGGCCTCTCAGCTGATTCCCTGGTGGCCTGCTGGAAGGTGGAGTTAACCAGGACTATTGACTATCTGGCTCCAAAGCACCCTCTCCTGTCTACCAGCTCCATCTGGTATGCCAGCTGAGACCCTACCTGCCACAGACTTTCTCGCCAGAGTGTTGCATGATCTAGTTATCTCCCTCTTGGATTACTGCAATGCACTCTACACGGGGCTACTTTTGAAGGTGACTCGTAAACTACAACCAATCTAGAATGCGGCAGCTAGACTGATGGCGGGTAATGGCCAGGGAGACCATATAACACCAGTCCTGAAAGACCTTCATTGGCTCCCAGCAAGTTTCTGAGCACAATTCAAACTTTTGGTGCTGACCTTTAAAGCCCTAAATGGCCTTGGCCCAGTATACCTGAAGGAATGTCTCCACCCCCATCGCTCAGCCCAGGCACTGAGGTCCAGCTCCGAGGGACTTCTGGCGCTTCCCTCACTGCAAGAAGTGAGGTTACAGAGAACCAGGCTTAGGGCCTTCTTGGTAGTGGTGCCCACCCTCTGGAACGCCCTCCCATCATTTTTTTTTATATGCGCTGTAAGCCGCCCAGAGTGGCTGGGGAAACCCAGCCAGATGGGTGGTGTATAAATAATAAATTTAGTAGTAGTAGTAGTATATGCTTTTGACATATTTCTTCAAACCTCCAGTTTTATACTTTATAATCTTTCCCACTTACATTGTTGACGGAGCCTTTGTGCAGCAAATCAAATTCTGTATTTCCTGACAGGCACACAAACGGTGAAACTGCTGTCCTTCCTTCATCGCAGCTCATTAAGTGAGATGCAAGCGGTGAGTCAGATGGTTTTTTACTTGAAAAATCTAACAAAATGATTAAAAATGTGAATTTATCAATGGGTGCACAACTCTATTATAATTGGATAATAGAGGAATGGACATAAATATCAAAAACAGATATTTATACTTTATATATACTTGATGACTGAAGTCCTCAGATGTCTCATTAGATGTGACCATATATCCTTGTGCTCTTTTTTGTCCCTACTGAATCTAAGCCAAAATATGTGCAATTGAAGCAATCACATATTCACCCACTGCCTACCCATGCCTCCATTCCTACCTTTCTTCTGTCCCATCTACCTCCAGCATGCCATCTTTCAAACTGTACTTCCTGCAACCAGCCACAGGTTGCATATCTAAGCCCATGTAGCTTCCCAGGGACTCCTCTGGGATCACAAGGCTGCTCAACCAGTGGACCTTTGATTGCTAATTGATAGGCTTCAGAACTGCACAGTTTGTATTTCAATGTAATACAAACAATGCCTGCTTACCAAGTTCTGAAAGTGGAAGTTTATATTCTTGCTGCATATCAGCCATGGTGGAAACTATCTGCAGAAACTGTCCAAAATTCTCTTTTATTTTGGAGTTGTACTCATGTAAAGCAGCAGCAAAATCTTCAGGGAGATCCTCAAGAAACACCTAAAGACAACAGAATAGTTGCTTGAGAGATAAATAATAATCGTCAAGCCTTATTTAAAGCTTTTAATAAGAAAATACTTTTTTTTTAAAAAAGGACCACAGAATACAATATCTAGATCACCAAGAGGGCTCTAGTGACTTTGGCTGTATTGCTGCAGAATTTATCTCATAATCCAATCTATGTCACAGAATTAGAGTACTGTGCAATACAAAAGGTGCTTACATGTATCTTTATACCTTACTTCCATAGTATAAACTTAATTTATCATTCAATAAGTTGTCCATATAGAATCAATAAAAATTCAAAGGAGGAGAGAAGCTTCCAAAGAGAATTAAACAGCATGTGGATTCTTCTGTTCACCTTTGATCAGTAGTTACTGGGGTTTCTTTAAATCACATCATTATCTCCATCTTTGGCATCATCCGCTCATCTTTGTACCTTCTGAACAAAGGTGGCCAACGTCCTTTCCCACATTTTTAGTGGCAAATAAACAAGCTTTTGATCTTACCTTTGACTGGTAAAATGTCCTTCTAGAATTAAGAACAGCAGCTGGTATCCGCCTTCTTCCAAAAAGATGGGCCAATACTAGCACCAGCTTTTCCATCACATCCTGAGAGAAAGCATGTGGTCCTGTTTGATACAGAAATCCACATTATTACAAATTAATCCTTCAGGAGTGCACTCTTAACGCTTATTTGCAGCTGTGGCTTTACCTGCTCACAGGTGTGGGGGAGATGGGGGGAAACAGCCTCCTGGTCAAATTAGGATCTCTGGTGGTTTGGTCCATGAGCTGAAGGTTCTTCACCCTTCATCTATTAGTTACACTTATGAACACTGACATGACAAGGCCTTCCTCACTCCCCCAACCTGGAGTAGAAGTGGTCTCCAAAACAGGATTGAATGGAGTAAATCACTCTGCCCATTCAAAAGCAAAGCAGGGAAGGAAGGAATTGGTGGTGCTCTTTCTCTGTGCCCATGTAAACATACCTTCCTTGCTCCGTTGACACAGCTTATGGAATAAGCCTTTCATAAGAAAATCAACTAGTACAATATTGGAAGGTTCATGATAATGCAAATGAGTCACAAGTCCAGCAAATCCTGTAGTATTGCCTTCCCGATCCACATATCCCTAAAGTAAGAAAACACTGTATGTATTCAGATGGATTTCCACCCTAACTCATGAGACAAACTGCAAAATACATTCTGATTTTAATCATGGTGTAAGCTTGGGAGCTGAAAACAGAAACTCTCCCATGTTTGTGCAGGATAACCATAAAGCGACCAAATGTTGTACAATAACACAGACTAGCTAAATGTCTTAAATATTACAATGGTCATAGAAGATTAATTTAAGAGGTGGGCCTCAATTTGTTCCAGAGCACATTCACGCATGTTTTGAATACTGAGTACTGAGTACTAAGCACCAATCTTTTAAACTTACTGTTTATAAATCTGGGCCAGAATGAAAACTTCTAACTTTTTTCAGGAATTTTTTTTGGGGGGTGGGGGCGTTGACCCATTAAACTTGGCTGGCATATATTTCAAGGAGCAGGGTTGAATCATTTTGGTGTGGGACATTTTTTCCTATTTTTGAACAAGGGGAAATATAGTTGTTGGTGGAGGCACAGCAATGCTTGAGCTCTTGGAAGCCACAATTTTTCCATTCCCAAAAGAGTTTGGAATGATACTGCATTGTGTTAGTTCAGGTGAATTACTGGAGAGAAAATGGCTGTCAGCTCCTGGTGGTATCTGAGAGGTGGATAAATACTCTGCTACCACAGTCATGGGCAGAAACAAAACTACATTTTTCCCTGAAAGGGAACATACAACACATCTGAACATTGATAAAACATTACACACCCACATGGTTTTATCACCTTCAGGACGGTGAAGTAATCATTTTCCAGCTCTACAAAAACAAGGCCATATCCACAAAGGACTCTGCACACCAGTGTGGGGTACTACATAAAAGCCAAGACCCACTTGATTAAATAAGAAGACTTGGAAACTTACCTCCTTCACGAGAAACTGTAATGAAAACAAAAAATACAACTTTAACATCTTGAGGGCCCTTGGTTGTTTGAAGGCTAGAAGTGAATGCTTCAGTATCGACAGGACCTTTGGGAAGGGAAAATATATTAATACATTTCCATTGCAGCTGACTGGTTAAAAGGTTTGAGAGTAAGATAGAAAACTGGCACTGGGCTTAACATCGACTCTTGGCATACCAGAGTATGGTCAAAGGAATTGCCTGAGAAATTAACGTGTCAGGCCAGAGCAGTAAAGGGCAACCACAATCCCTATTCCTTTTCTAACATGCAGCAAATGTTTATTGAATGCATACAGTAAATTGTTCAGACTGTGGCAGGCATCTACCCAACACTCATGGGAAAATGTGACCCGACCTTTTAGAGTAATCAACTAAAACTTTATTACATAGCATGACATTACACTGGGACAAGGTATTTGTTGTTTACTACTGTAGCAATAGTTTTCTAAAAATGTATCTTCCATACCATGAAAAATAAACAAAAACCTTGAGCGAACTAAGTTTGTTCTTGGTATAAGCTTTTCTGTGCATGCACACTTCTTCAGGTATCTGAAGAAGCGTGCATGCACGTGAAAGTTTATGTCAGGTGTGCGTGCAGGAGCCAGGCCCTGGGACCAATAGGACTTTGCAGGACTGGGGCCTTCCTAAGTTTGTTCTGAAGAGGCAAGGCGCGGCCGATTGGTAACTCACAGCACCTGGTGGCAAGAGCCGGGAAGGGATATAAGGTCAGCATTTCTCTTTGGCATTTCCCACAGCAACACGTTCCCTGCCCTGCTGCATTTGGCTCCTTGACTCCTTGCTTCTTGATCCTCGGACCCTTGACTTCGTGACTCCTTGCTGCTTGATCCTAGGACACTTGACTTCGTGACTCCTTGCTTCCTGACCCTCAGACCCTTGGCTTCCTGACCCCTGGCTTCTGGACTCCTGCTCCTGCTCCTACCCCGCCATCTTGCCCCCGGTCCTGACGTCCCCAGCCAGACCGTGACAGCTTATACCAAGAACAAACTCAGCTGGTCTGCAAGGTGCCACTGGAAAATTTATTATATATATATATATAGATATATAGATAGATAGATAGATAGATATTTCAGACCAACATGGCTACCTACCTGAATCTAAAACATTGAGCATTAGCATTTAGTGTTTTTCTTTAACTTGCAGAATGAGGTTTGAAAATGTGTAGCAAAATGCACTGGTTAGAACATTGTCAGGAAATTAGTTGATCAATTTAGGCTGCAATTCGTAACACTTTCCTAGGTATTTACTCTTACTGAAGTCACTGGGAGTTATTTCCAAGTAGACACATTTAGGAACACCTTGTTAAATTAAGCTAGGAAGGAGTCATACATTGGGTTTTACTTCTGATATCACTGGAAAACAATGTGTTCAGTCCCATTGGGTGGCTCTAGGATTGCATCCTTCATTAGAGGAGGATTGCTTCCAAGGATTACCTTGGCTTTTGCATCCACTTTATCATCTGCTTTTGAAGCCAACAGCAGGAGTCTCAGGATCAGAGAAATACTCAAAGGAAACTGTCCTCGAAGTTCTGGTACATTGGATTTAATGAGCTTCTGTATTTTAGGCAATGGAATGTCATAGAAAAAGACATCACCCAAAAAATCTTGACCTCGTCGCCCAGCACGTCCAGACATCTATGAAAAAGCAATCAAAGTCAGAAATCACACAATAATCAAGCAAAATTTGAAATCAAAGCATTTAAGACTGTAGCAGAGAAGCTATCCATACTGCAGGACAAACATGCTCTTTTTTTCTTTATCAAATAGATAGACAGAGGGATGGGGAGAGAAGAGGCAAAGTCATTCCTAGCAAATCCCAGGGGTTGAATGTTAACGCTTTATACTTGTGGGCATCAATTTCCCTTCAGTGCTGTGTCTGTGGGGGCAGGAGGGAAACAAACGTAATTCACTTTACCTGTAAGACCTAAAGTTTAAATTTCCTAAGTGTCCTCCATACCCAATACACCTGAGACTAAATTACAGATGTCCTTAGTCATGCAAGTCTGCTCTTAAATGTAGTGTTGTTGTTAATAAGCCAGCACAGGAGGCCTGATTTGGATCAGAACTGCAACATGGGGACAAGAGCAGTGGTGGCGAGTACCCACTGAGAGGGGTAGGGGCAGGGAATAAGGAAACCAGCAGTATATGCAGCCAGAGCCAATGATAAGCCGAGTCAATTCAGTGCTACTTATTGCTGAGTTCCGTAAACATAGCACTGAGACTAAACATCCTTCCATATTGGTCTCTGCATGTTTGTGGGTCATTGATGCAATAATAATGCATTAGTTGTGGATTCATGCTGGACTGTCCAACCCATCCCACTCTCCAAAAACAGCCATGGACTTTTGACTAGTCCTAAAGATTAATCTCATTACCTGCCTATAGTGCAGAGCATCCAAATATACAGAATTCTGTACAAAAACAACAGATTTACATGGCATGTTGATTCCCAAAGCCAAGGTTCCTGTGGCTGTCACCACCTAAAAGAAGAAACAACATTCAGTGGCAGTGCAAGTAAGTCCCATTCAGCTTAATGAGACTTGTTCCCAGGTATTTGGGTGTAAGAGTGCTGCCTTAATTGTTTTAAAAGATGGTAGTTAACATCAACTATCAATGTTAATACCATAATAATGCTTATCCATGCAACACAATGCAGAGCTACATAAAAGGGTTTTTGTGGGTGTGGGAGAGATTAATAAAAAAGCATACTGAAAAATACTGACAGAATCTGAACTTCAGTTACTAGGACTTGCTAATATTTAGTTAGATTCAGTTTCTAGTCCCTTGTATATATTTTCCTAATCAAGAAAGCATCACTGTGATCTAGGGTATCAAGCATGTTCTTTTGGAAAAGCCTCAACTTGTTTTTCATTTATCATAGCCCCCTAAGACCCATAGCAATATTAAGGGGAACTGACCAAGGACACATCTGCACTCTATGCCATGATCATACAAGTTGGCCATAAAACCAGAGAGGCTGGAGGAAGAGTAGAATCTCTTTTCAAAGCACCCAAAATATTAAGTGCTTTCCTTCCACAAGACCACCTTCACCCATCAGCCTAAAATTTAACATCGGATAATGTCAGTATTACCATGAAAGAATGAAGACCAAGTATATAACTTGTACAGAGCAACATCCAAATTAGCAGGCCAGTTATTAAATATAAAGCTGGTCATCCCTTTAAAGAAATCAACAATTTTAAATGAGGCCTAAGTGGTGGGAAGGAGAAAAGGTAAGTTATGCCAGTCAATCCCCTGCCTCCCCATTCAGCTGTCACTCATTCCTTTTTCTGCCAGTTCCCTACACTTCAGTAGGGTAGCTATTGTAGCTAGTTTAACAGGGGAAGAATATTAGGGTCAACACGCCATCCATGGATTACAATCAGTGCTGAATTAAGCCCTGTGGAGGCCCCTGGGCAGTTGAAATCTCAGGGGGCCCTCGGAAATTATCTCCTAATACTTTTTTTTATTTTACCAACCAACCATTTTAATAAGCCCATTTTTTACACAATACTATTTTGATCCATTGTCGTAGAGTCCCTAAAAAGCATGGGGCCCATAGGTTGGTGTCTACTCTGCCTGTTAAGTAATCTGACACTGCTTACAATCAAGTTAATTTGACTTTAATGATCAGAAAAAGGTTTAAATAAACCTATGACAAGTAACTTTGAAGCATACAGAGATAGTAGGTGATTGGCAGTATTAGCAAGGCATGTATGCACATAGATTACAAATATACAAACTGAAAGTTGGTAAACCTGCAGAAATCCCTTTCTGAAAAGCATCTCCACTACTTGCTTCCCTTTGGCATCCACAGCAGAATGATGATACCCAATGCCTCTTAGTGCCAAATCTTGCAGTTCTATTTTCTTTCTCGAGAATCTTAATCGATGAAATATCTTGGTCAAAGTCTAGTGGAAGCAAAGTCTTAATATGTAAGAACAGTAGATGTTTCAAAGCAGCTCGTCATTTCTACATGATTGCATAAGTGTAAATTGACTTTAACTGAATACATGTTAGAAAACCTTTGCCTATGTAATTTTACATTTTCTAATCATTAATTTGGAGAGAATCTCATAATCTCAAATATATTTAGACATACACAAATATGAACATAGCGGTCTATGTTACAGCACTTGATTTTACATGTCTAATTTTTAATGAAGATCAAAGTCATTTTTATTTTAATACTGGAAATTAAAGGGCTTTAAGCTCACCTCCTCATCAACAGCATGTTCATTTGCATAGGTGCAGTCGGAAGGAGTTTCAGAAATCTTCTCCAGTTGCTTCCTTATGCTATCAAGCTCAGCTTCCCAAACTAATTGTTTGCCATAGTTACGGACTTTAGTGTCACTGCACAAAAGTACAGATAAATTACCAAACAATTTTTCAACATTTCCCTGACATTGTCATATGTACTCTTTTTCCAGCATACATCCTCTTTTTCATGGGTAGAGTCATCATAGCGATCCATACTTAAAAGTAGAAGTTGGCAAATGCGTCCTCTTTTTTTCTCTTCAGAATCTGGCACCCCTAATATGTGTATGTGCGTGTACAAAAGTGAAAGAGACACACAGACAAATGTAGAACTCATTTGTATGTGACACTAGTCTTCTTCACATTTCATGGTAAGTCACGGTTCCTTTGGTTTTTTGGGTTTTTTCAGAAGGAAACCATGATCTCAGGTTTGGACATGATGCTAAGCAAGGCTTCTTGCTACTCACACTAGAGAAGACATGAAGGGACAGTAACTGGACAGCAAGCACTAGCACGCTGCTGGTTCATGTCTTGTTAATTCATGCCAAGCTACTAATTATGGCTTATAGTAGGGGTAATCTATGTGCTGATCTCCAGATATTGTTCAACCCTAGCCAGCATGGCTGATAGTCAGGGGTGATGGAAGCTGCAGTCCGTCATTCACAACTAAAGGACTTCCTCTGGCTTACCCTGCTGTGCAAAAAAAGGTCACTTGAAATCCAATAGACTAGTTCACATTTACATTTCAGGCAACAACAGGAAGTGGAGAGGTGAGGCAGCATTGACGTTGGGGTTGACTCTACTGGTGCCAGATTCTATTGGTGCTTCAACAAAGCCCTGATTTCACTCCCGCCTGACCCCTCACCATCCTGGTAAGTGGCAATGACTCAACAACCATCTCAGCGTGATATTCTTCTTAGAGGAATGACATTTACACTCTGCTCATAGAAGCACATGGGATTCAAGGTCATCATGTGATTGCAGTAGGGCTGGCTGAGGATCCAATGGATCCCAGGTTGCCCTGCCTCTCCCTGTCCTTGGAACATCCTGTTTTGAAGCTTTCTGCTGGCTGCCAGCAGCAGGGATCTTACCAGCTGCATGGGCACCTGCACACTGGGTGGATGGGAGGGGAGATCTGTGGTACCAGAGTGGTGCTACTATCACTCTGCAGGTGGCAGCTGGTGGGCGGAATCCCTCTTGCTAATCTAACTTCACTTCTTCTCCAGCCTGGGGCAAAGGGGATTGAAATTGCTCTGCCAGACACCCAACACAACGTGTGCAGTACATACAAATGGTTTCAAATACTTGGTCTGCTCCTTTTTCAGA